TACTGCTTGCAAACCAATGATGTAAGATGATGTCATGGGGTAGGACTGGATAAGTCTGACTTCTTCCTACTCCATTCAATCATGTACTAGGTATAAGCAAATTGATATTGGATTAGCATTTGTTGGATATGTGTAAAATTATGTGTGTTGACATATCAACTGTCTTTACATGCTTGAAAGAATAAATCAAATCAAATCTCTGTGTGTGTCTTCAGGCTGACCAGCAGTACGCCAGCAGCGTAGCAGACAACCTGAAGCGCCTGTAAGTCCACCTGCATGATGGCATACTGTTTCTATGGCAACAGATGCACACAAAAGGGGTGTTCTCCACTTCCTGTTTGTGTGTTGTGTTTGATGTCAGCTCACACACTCGGGCGTTTGATCAGCAGAGTGCGCGTGTGTGTGTCACAGCATGTAGTAAAAGTGTAGCTTGTTATTGTGTGATTAATTTAACACACACACACACACACACACACACACACACACTCAGCCTGCAGGATGAACTGTGTCAGCAGCAGCAGGACGCTTTTAGTAACTCAGAAATCAGATGTGATTATTCCTGCTTTCACTTTCTATTCCTTCCCTTCTCCACCTCCTTTCCCCTCCTTCATCCTCAAACAACCTCCTTTCTTTCTTTCCTACCTTCTCTCCTCTGTTTCTATCCTTTTTTCTGTCCTTACACTCTCCTTTCCTAATTATTTATTCTTTTTCCTTCATTGTTGTTTCCTACCATTTCTCCTCTTGTCCTTCCTTCATTTTATTTTCCTTCCTTACCTCCTTCCCTCTGTCTCCTCTGTTTCTTCTCTACTTCCATACTGTTCTTTAGTGTTTATCCTCTTTTCCCTTGTCTTCTTTCTCCTCTCTGGGTTTGGTCCACCTTTTTTCTTTGTCATCCTCCACCTTCTGTCTGTATTAGCTGTGCTGCTTTAACCCTGCCTCTTTCTTTTTCATCCTGCTCTCTTTTTCTCTTTATCCTAGTTTCCTCTCATACCTCCTGCTTTGCTTTCCTTCCTTCTTCTTCCTTCTTTGTCATCACCCCCCCATTTTGATTTCCCCCTTTCCTTTCCTACCCCCCTTCTTACTTTTGTCATTCTCTCATGTTTTTTGTCTTGAATTACAAACATTCCTTCACTGTTTCCTTTTTCACACTGAGAGTGAAACTCAAAGACATGTTTGGTTAAGATCAACTTTAGGTTGTGAGTCGCATTCTTCACCAGGTGATTGTTTTTCTTACATTTTAAATGACTCCTGTGTTCTTTGTCCTTCTTTCTTTTTGTTTCTATAAGAGAAAATGGTGGATTAAGAAAAAGAAAACTGTTGGTTATGATACAAACTGGTCCTATAAAAGGAGGATCATCAGCAGCGAAGAAACGCTTCTTCATCTCCTGTTGTCTCTCTAGTTTTCCTGCAGAGATCCAGTCGGGTTTGTTGGAGGTCATCTCTCCATCCGTCCACTTCTACCCTGACTTCTCCCGACTCCGAGAATCCTTCGGCGACCCAAAGGAGAGAGTCAGGTCTGTGTGTGCACTAGAGAAACAAGCCTCTGGTGCTTTCAGCACTGTTCCAACAGCATGACTCAGTCTGTATGGAACAGCCTTGCATTTTTTGTGTGTGTGGTTTGAGTACAGGAAACTGTCCTGCTATAAAAGTCTGTTTTAATAACAACATGAAGTGAATCGTGTTTCCTATTTTTCTGTCAACGTAACATGAGCGTCAGTTCTAGACCGGCTTTTCCCTTCACTTCAGCTTAAAATATTAGACTCACTGCTTCATGTTTGGCTTGTTTTTGTTGAAGTAAGTTTGCAAAAAGCAGTTGTGTCTGCATGCAGCACTTTACACAAAGACAGTTTGTCTGCTGGCACGTCATCTGTGCTGTTAGAAAGCGGGAAACCCTCATCGGTCAGACAAATGATTGGCGTTCTTAACAGAGTGCGATTTTCATCTCCTGACTGAACCACACTGCAAAGCAGGAGCCAGGCTCCAGAGCCCATCTCTGGTATTAGGACCCAATGGGTTAAGTTGGATCTGTAGGAGTCTGTTCCAGTCTGGTTCAGTTGGCAGTCGAGTAAGAGGTGTCTTAAAGTGGGACTCGAGCTCTTGAAAGACTCGCAGCTTGTCCCTGACTCCAGATTAGACTCAGACCTGGGAATCATGACTCATAAACATTAGGAGTCAGTGAAGGATCGGTACTAAACATTAAGAGTCAGTGAAGGATCGGTACAGTACTGAACATTTCTGTAGGAGAAAGGTTTAGTTGTTACAACCCTCTTTAGTTCTTTAACGCATCACAACATGTGTGCCACCTAGAGACGTGCCCAGATAACACACAACAAGTTGTGTTGCTGTAACCTCTGGATACAAAACCCATGGACTTAACAATAAACTGCCCCCTGTAAAGATGCAGGAAGAAGATAAATGATGCTGTGTCAGATGAAAACTCATCGAGGCCGGTCGGTGTTGCAGCCTGTAAATTCGCCACATTAGCGTTAACCTTGCTGCTGTTGCTGTAATATCAGGTGTGTTGGCTCATGTTATGTAACGTGATTATCTGCTGCTCATGGTGCTACGGTTACACTAACCGATGAACTGCAGGGGATATTTTGTGTTGTAACACCACAGCCAGTCCCTGCAGCAAACTGTCAACAGTGCTGACCCCAACCTTACATCCATGATTCGTCGTTAGCTGATATGTGGTGACCTGCTGGGAACCAACGCCACAACTAAATAAAATAACTTATTTCTTTCAAAGTGACTTTAAAAGTTTCTCTTTATTGAGTTTCTGACTTTGTTCTGATTTAAACTGACGGGGTCTCATCCTTTAACTTTTAATTACAGCAGATTATCATAATTACAGCTCATACACACCAACATCGCGCACACACACGCTTGTCTCTCCGTGGTGGTGACGACACTCACTGCATCTCCTGGCCTCAGTGCAGACATGTCCTCACAATGATGGTATCAAACTAAAAATTGCTTGCACAACCATATGAAGACGCACACAGTCACGTAACAGTTTACTTGGTGTGTGCATGTGATTTTTCAGCTGCAGCAATCAAAGGAAGTGAGTGTGTTTCTCACCACTTGTGTGTGTGTATTTATGTGTGTGTTAGATGGCTCCCCAGGCGTCTGTCAGCCTGTCATGGCTAATTCATGAGGCTCTGAGCCACGCTGAGTGAGCTAACTACACACACACACACACACACACTTAAATTCTATCTCTAAAGGAAACACACACTTTCTTCCTTCAAGGGTGATGATGCAGATCGAGGTGACGACATTTTAGCTAATAAGCTGTTACTCTACCTGGCCCTGTTCCCGTGGCAACACAGGAAAGGACCAAGGTGAAAGAGGGACAGATGAAAAGAGGAGGGTGGAGGGGAGGAGAGCAGATACAGAAAGTTAATGAAGGGAAGGAAGAGAAATAAGGAGACTAGGCTGGAGTGAGGGGTAAAACAAAAGAGGATGAAGGATGGAGAGAGGAATGCCAGTGTTTTCCTACTGAAGCAGCAAACCGAGGAGATTGGACCCAAATGCAGAGCAGACACCAGACAGGCTGGCAGAATCAGCCAAACAGATTTATTAATCAAACAGGAAGCAACACTGGTCCAAATGCAGCTCAACAGGAGATCGGTCCAATCAGAGCTAAGAGTGCAAGGAAAAAGGAAAGGGGAGAAATCCAGAAACACAGGAAATAATACATGCGCTCTATTAATCACCTGTGTCGGGACCATTTATACACTGTCCTTGGTATCGGCTTTGCTTAGGGTGTGTATGCACTAGCATGAGTCATGGAAGACGTTTTAAGAGAGTAAACTGATGATGCTTTCGCTTCATATCAGCGAGTCAGAGTCGGTGATGCTGTGGGTTTATGACTCCCACTGGCAGACTGGCTGCTAATGCACCACAGCTGACATGTGCATCCAAATAAAATCCAGTATAAACACTAATACAGTCCATTAAGCTCATTTTATAGGACGCTGTTTGTTTGTATCTGAAACCAGCGAATGGCTGCAAGTTAGCAGGGAAATCAGTTTTAGAGAAGAACGAGTCCTCCTGCTTGTCATGTCAACAAGCAGATAGTTGTTTACAGACAGATTAGGAAAAATCAGTTCATCTCCTCAGTGTCCGTCATCAATCCGCCGTTCTCCTCCTCCTTCATTTCCTCTGCTGAGATCTGAGACGCATCCACCTGTTTCCTTCATACATTATGAAGCACCGAGTCCTGACACCAGCCGTCTCAGAAGTCTGTACAACCTCCATGTGTCCCTCCAGAGGCATAGCAGGAAAAGCAGAGCAAGTAGAAAACTGAAAGAGATCCTACAGAAACTGGCTTCTGGGGAAAAGTTGGGTTTTAAACTGGTTTTCTGTTTTTTCAGAGGAGCTGTATGAAAATAATTCAGCAGTAACCAGACAGAGAGGAGGAGGAAGAGGATGTGTTGTTTCTTTTAGTTTGCAGAGAACAAGAGGTTAACTTAGCACCGTGACCTAAAAAGGACTGTATAGAATTTAAAAAAAACCACAACCATCTTTCTGAGCCTCAACCAACAAACACCTAACATCTGGGAAGCAGCCGTGAGGTTTTGCAAGCAAATGAGCTGATCAGAAACAGGAAGTGGCAGGAGACAGGATGGACATTCAACATTTATGACTTGATTAGTGTGTTAGATTCACAGGAGGAGGAGGAATTTATTACTCCTGTAGCGTGCTGGCGGGTTTAGTCCAACACAGGGCCTCACAGACCCCACAACAGAAACCACTTTGGTCTCAAACGAGCGTTGGATGGATGGAGATGACCATTCGTGTTCCCCTCAGGATAATATGTTTGAAATATATTTCACTTTGACTTTCACAGTGACAAACTGAAAGCAGCAGCAGTCTAAGAACTCGTTACACCTGCAGAATTGTCAAGTGTCTGTGATTTGTACTCAGTCGTGCTTAAATCTACCAAACTGCACCTTGAACACTGCACAGTGCTGGCAGATGTTGGCTGTCCTTTTTGAGGCTGTTTCTATGTAAACCTCAGCATCTATCACTCGCTCCCTGAGGAAAATCCCATTTTCTCTCTGGGCTCCTTCATCCTGCGCTGGTCTGATGTTCTCTCAGCGGGAGATGGAGGACAGGACACTGAGCCTCAGAGTCGTGGCCTCGCAAACTAACTACTGGTTGTTCAGTTCACTTCCCACAGCGACTCATAAAAACTGAACAGCCGTATCTGATTCAACACTGCATCTTAACAGGAAGCTCAGGTGGACTGAACCAGACAGAGGACATTTTTATTAACTCTGCCTCATGAACTTCTAAATACATTATTGTCTCTGAGCACATCTGGTTTGTGCTGTGATCCTCTGCGTCAGATTCATTGTGTCTCCTCTGGGATTAACTGGTGTAATCATCAACATGTGAACAGCTTAAATATGACCCAAAGCATGTTGGGAAATAGTCTGACACCGCGCAGTCGCCTGTAAAACAGCCAGTTTTTACACTCAGTTTGGTTTGTCTGCAGGTTAAAACAATCATGTTAATCAGTGAACCTAGAGATGCTGGTAGGTGGATTCCCTCATATTTAGTCAGATGTAGGCTAACCATTTCCCCCCGTTTCCAGTTTTTATGCTAAGCTACGCTAGCCAGCTGTTAAAACAAGCCAGAGGTGTTCCTACTATCCTGACCCCTCATATAAATGGGGAGCACAGTAAAATAAAGACACCTCTAAACATAATGCAGTCCAGAACACCACCTCCTTTAATGATGAGCTCCATAAAGACAGGGGCTGTGGCTGCATTCACTTGGACCTAGTAACGTGCTCAGTGAGGTTAAAGTGAGAGACGTTGCTAACTGCATAACAAAAACCCCACTCGCACTCAGTAAATGATCACAGGAGCTGAAGGTTTAAAGTCGCCCTTTGGTCACGCTTCGGCTGCTTCTGCCTGCTCGGGGTCCGCAGAAAAGTTTCTCTTTGTTTCAGACGCTGATCGTTGCTGTTGTTGTTGGTCAGTCTCGGGTGGAGAAGCAGCTGATTTGGGGAAGAGAGAGTGTGAAACAAGGCTGCTTCTGTTTATTGTTTCCCCATAAAACCTTATAAAGCCCCTTTAAATGGTGGATAAACTGCTGTGTGAGTACGAGTGGAGGCTGCTGGAGGAGACAGTTGTTTTTGTATTTACAGCACCATAAAGTGAAGTGTCGACGGAGGGGTGGAGGGGTTTCTTGTCTTCGGGGCTGAAGACGTCAGACCTTGTGTTCATCACATGCTGCACACACATCTACAATGAAGCATTTTATGATACTTTTTAACAGTTTAAGGTCAAAGGTTAATTTCATACCAGGAACTTTGGACTCATAGTCTCTACAAACACTTCTTTATATGTTAGAAAGAATTCAGCCTCTTGAAGTACTAGTCTGGTCACAGTATGTTCAGCATTTTGCTTCAAATCCCAAACAGAAGCATCATCTCCCCCTGTTTGGTAGAAACTACAGTGAGCAGCAGTTTTGGAAAATTACTGCGCATGAGATTTGGAGATGGTTAGAAAAATATTGTGTACAGTTTCTGAACCGTCACAAACACTAAGATTTTCTATGTGCAAGGAAAATTTTAAAAAAAGCTTGAGCATGAAAGTTCTTGAACAGTTTTCTATCAAAATAATCTTTTATAACTTTCATCATTTAATGATGTTTTCGTAAGTGATTCATTCAACATTGATTTTTTTTGTTTTTTGTTTTGTGTCATTTAGTTTAGTTTTTTTTTCTTTGCTAAGAAAGGCTATGAAATGCATCTTTAGCACAGAGAGAGTGGGACAAAGAAAGAGCAACAACCAGGGTTAACATGGGTTTGGCTGTTTGACATGGAGAGGGTTAAAAGCAGCCAGAGGACTCAGACTGGATCCAGATGTGGCCTTCTTCCTTCTGGATGTGTTTGCATCTAAAGCTAAGCTGTTTGTTTTGGTAGCATTAGCCACCTAGCATGGTCATGTCTTTACCCTTGTGTTGAATTAATATGATTTTAATTTAGGAGGAACTGGAGCTTTGTGTAACGTCAGTGCTTTGTGTCACATCAGCAGTAACCAGAGCTTCTACTGGACTGACACAGTTACTGTTAGCCAGCTAACGCTAGCTTCAAACTGGAGGCTGCATTTTGTACAGTTTGTCCCAACCAGGCATCTGTAGTTCACGTCGTAGCTTCAGAAAACGGGCAGAGAGCAGTTTATGGTGTTGGCTTGTTTTGAGACTCACTAGCCCCTCTAGGCTGAAGAGACATTAGGAAGAGTAGAATTACTGAAGGAAACTTGCAGTACATGAGATAACTATATAAATAGAGGCTTTAACTACTTCTCTGTTGAATCTATCAGGGGCTTCACTGATGATAATAAAGTTTGTCAAAGGTCTGACTTGTGCTGCAGTTGTCTGACTCTTTATATTTAAACCCAGACTCTGCTCAGGTGTGATGCTGAGCTCTGAGACACCTGACGCTGGAGTTTCCTGCAGCCTCGCTCTGCTGGTGCTGTAAATATTGACCCGTGTGTGTTTGCATGGTTGTCGAGCTGCTCTGCTGGCTACCAAGTCTCGTCTGCACACACTGATTTAATTCACTGCTGATTGCTTTGTGCTGTTTCTGGGAATGACTGAAATTCAGGAACCGCCGGTGTTTTTCCATTACACAGGCTGAAGGTATCGGTGGGAACCTGCAGTCTTAAAACGTTAATCCTTCAGATCTTCATGTGAGGCACATCTACTGCATATTTTTTCTCAGTGCTATTTTTGTAGCAGCATTCATTATAATTAGCATCTCTGAAGTTGTTTCCACTCCGTGTAGTAGTGTCCTTCTGCACAGAGATGCACTGGCACGGTGCAGATGACAACAGGTCACACTACTGTTTGAGCCACTGGAGGATCACGTCACGTCTGACCAGAGAGCTTTAACGGCACTGAACGGGTGAACACGCAGCACGGTGCATGACACCATGACTACAGAATAGCTTTGGACATGCTCGGTGCCTGGAGCCACAGCTGAGATGTTAGAATTATTCATGTCACCCAAAACAATTTCTACACTAAGTTGTTTTTATTTTATTTAAGACAAATGCGTGTTCTGACCCAAATGTGTTTCTGGTCATCCAATCGGTTTGGTACAACACAGTCCTGTCCTGCAGACATTAAAAACTGGTTTTCTCTTCCTTTAACTAAGTTCAGAGAAGCCTCCAGGCTCAGACTCCTCCAGTGATCATGTTTCCCCTGTTTATGTCCACTGTCCTCCTGCATAGCAGCACAGCACAGAAATCTGGGCCTTTCTTTTGACAGCCAGGAGACGTCAGTGGTCCAAATGTGTTTAATGCACCTTCGCAATATATCAAGAATTAGATCCTAATTATCTACAAAGAACCTGGAAATTGTCATTCATTACTTCCCAGTTAGAGCATTGTAAATCACTTTACTGTTGTCTCAGTCAACACAACCTGCCCAACCCCCCCCAGTCCTGAACACCTGAACACTGCAGCAAAAACTAAAGGCCTTATAGCTGAGAGCATCCTGCTACCTGTCTGCTTCAGTATAGATTTAAAATAACCAGTACTTTAATGCTTAAGTTTAAAGTGCTGATGGGGTTGGCCCCTGGTTATATCTCTGAGCTGCTGACCCTTCATGGACCCCAGCGCAGTCCGACATCCTCTGATATGTGGCATGTTTTGGAAATAACAAAAGCACCAGCTTTATCCTTTAAGGCTGCAGAAGATGTACAGTGATTTGTTCTGACAGACCTGTGCCGCAGAGCTGCATGCTGATTGGCTGAAAGCTGCCGAGTCTCATTTCCATAATCAGGTTAGTCTGCCATCGCTGCTTCGTGCTGCTACTGGTTAAACTGAGAGGATCATCAAGCACACTTCCTACATTGTTGTGTGTAGCTGTGTACATGGACAGTAGTGTGTGTGTGTGCCTTTGTATTACACTTTGTATCATGAGGACCGAAACCTCTTAACACACTCACACTGTGGGGACTCGCCATCATAGTGGGGACTAGCTTCTGGTGCCCACAAGGGACAAAAATCACAACATTTTAGGGTGGCAACATGGTTTAGGTGTTAGGGTCAGGGTTAGGCAAGTAGTGGTTATGGTTAAGGTTAGGTCTACACAAGGAATGAAAACACAGCGTGCATGTGTGTGTGCGTTTTACTCATGGTGTGGGGACATAAATCTGTTTAAACCACTGCACTGTGAAGACTCATCTTCCTCCTGGGGATAAAAATCAGGTCCCTCTAATGAAAATCATTACATTTTAAGGTGAAGCCTTAGTTTATTGTTTAGTCCAGGAACATGTAAGTCAATGTAATGTCCTTAGAAGTCATACACGACTGTGTGTACGTGTGTGTTACAGGATGTCAGGCCGTGTTTCATGTTGAGAACTTCTGGTTATACTGTTCTCCTCCTCCTCTTCCTCAGATGGAGGACGAAGCAGATCCTGGACTACTGTTTCCTGATGATGTACGCTCAGTCTAAAGGAACGTACTACGTCCAGGTAGGAAGCAAACTCTCCTGCCAGCTGCTGACATTTGATGCCTGCTTGTTTCCTGTAGTTCGTCACACATCAGTTCTGTAGTATACATCACACACTTACCTGGTACAGGTAACACGTGCCAGGACCTCATATACACTGAATACACACACTTGAAAATGACCACGAAGATGCAAATTGAATACAAAGAGACAAAACAACTACAGTGTGTCACAAAATGATTACAAAGCAGTCACATCATTTGTGGTCATTTTGTGTCTCTCTCAGTCATAAGCTGATGCAACTGTGGCATTGTGGGTAGACTGCGAAAGCAGTACAGTAGTGAGAGGCTAACAGAGACAAGTGCTCTCAGGTCCCTGTCCTGCCATGAATGTTGGTGCTGAAACACAGAAAATGACTGTCAGCGTGTCCTCAACTCTCTGACAGACAGTTTCCAGGAGGGCTTTCAGTGACTGTCACAGTGCGCTGTTATCCGGAGCTCTTTATGTGGAGGGCTGTTGTGATCTGCAGCTTTGTCCTCGAACACAGCCAGAGCTGAACTGGGTTCATTTTCAGCAATTTCCTAGCGACAGAACAATCTCAGCACCACCATCTCTGCTGGCAGTGACAGAGCTTCAGCCGCTCTGACAGAAACAGCCTTGCTGTTTTACATGTCTCACTCTCTGTACTTTGCAGAGCTTGTTTCCTCTCTGTGAGTTCTTCTTGTAATCGAATGCATTTAGCTGGTGTAACTGTTAACACTCTGAGCTGCGTAACTGAATACTGAGACCACCCCTCATCATCATCATCATCCCCCTTCTCTCTCTCCTACAGTTAGAGGACGACATAGTTGCTCGTCCAAACTACTTCACCACCATGAAGAACTTTGCATTGCAGCAGCCCTCGGAGGAGTGGATGATCCTGGAATTTTCCCAGCTCGGCTTCATCGGTGAGTCAGCGTTTAGCATCAGAATAACAACAGCAACAGTAATGATGATCCTCATTATCATAACGAGCAGAGAGGTTGAGCGGCTCCGCACAGCTGTGTCCCTTCATGGAGGATCTCCATTACTACTGGGGAACAAAGTCTCTAAATCAGTCACAGTAAAACCTGATCGCATTATAGATGGCACCAAAACACGCTGGTAAACTCTTTCATAAGTTTGTAAATGGACATGAATCCCAATCGCCATGATTGCCCCCACGTTTCTCTCACTTATGCCCTATCCTTGCATCTTAGTTCCACCCACCAAACAGTTGTTACTTTAGTGAGCGCTGAGGCCTGTTAGGTCAAATCCAGGTTGTGGAAGGTCATCCGTACATGGAGCATCTTAGACTGTAGTCTGTGGCTGCCTGGCACATGCACACATTTCCTTCAGGAAATGCAAAATATCCAGCTTTCAGTGTTGAATGGCAACACTCATCATACAGTTAAACACTGAGAGATGTAGCTGAAAGCCCTGAACAGTGTGTAAGGGATCTTTGAGGCAAGTTTGATGTACAGTAGCTGAAAGCCCTGAAAAGTGTGTAAGGGATCTTTGAGGCAAGTTGATCTGGTAACACACTCCAAAGAGTCAAGAATGAGGTTCAGTGTTTAAAGTTTCTGGTGCAGCAGTCAGCGAGGCGAGGAGCAGGCAGGATGTAAAACTGGAAGCTGATTTCCAGTCCTGCAGCTGTTCAGAGCTCTGGCTGATGGACTATTACACCCAGCATGAAAACTGAAGCGTGTGATCTGCTTTCTAATGATTCTGTCGGGACTAATCAATGGCTCCCATCTTCATGGATCCAATCAGCCGATGCCAACCTGAGTTCCACAGGCTGATCTGAAGTCAGATTTTTCCAGCACTGCAAAACGAAGGCCGGATGGCTGGTTGCAGAGACAGGGCCACAGAGAGGATAGTGACTGGTTGGTGTTTTTGTGTCCTCGCTGACGAAGTTTCAGCTCAGTGATGCTGATGGACTAATGTCACCAGTAAAATGTTTTCATTGCAGTGAAGCATCTCAGATATTTCTCATAAAAACGGTTCATTTTGCCAATAGATTGCAGTTAGTCTTAGTCTCTCAGTTGAAAAGGTTTAGTAGTTTTAGTCACGTTGAGTTATCACATTTTTTGTCACTTTTAGTCAACAAAGACTAAAGATGTAATGTTGTCATCACTGAGCTGAGACTGTGTGCGTCTTGTGTGCAGTCACCACTGTTACAGATGTTGTTCCTGCAAAACACTCAGTTCACACACAGTGTCCATGCCACCGTTCCATTTTTCACATTATTGTCAGGTTTGTATTTGTTGACAAAAGATGCTATAAATTTCATCATAGTCATCATGATTCAGCATCAGCCCCTCACAGACTGGTAACAAACATGGAGGAGAGCGGCGACAGCGACGGGGTCAGTGGAGAGACCAGGACGTTTCACATGTGGTGGACGTTTATGGAGAAGCTTCTGATCAGGACAAACTGGGAGGAACATATCGTAACCCAGTGGTTTGGGAGGAAACTGGGCCACACACAACCTGGTTGTTATTCTTGTGCGCACGTGGCTCACATTTCACTTACATTTGTGCACGTGTAGCAGTTTAGGAGCTCAGCGGTGTTCACACTGGGGTCAGGTACACGGCACTGACATGGACGGGAAGCAGCGACACAACAAGGTCAGATCTGAGTGAAACATCAAAATGATGAGAATGCAGCCACAGTTGAGTCGTGTATCCAGTGCTGGGTGTATTTCACTGCTTTCACTGTACGACTGATCCCCCAACGCCTCCTGGCCTTTCTGATTACTTGAACTTCTGGATCTAGTTTCCTCTGTTCGTCTAAACCAGATGACTCCTCGCAAAGAGATGACGGTGTGAATGCAGCTCTGTTTGCTGGTGGTTCTTGCTCCAGGACAAATGATGGTGACCATGTGTGTGTGTGTGTGTGTGTTCTTACCTTGAAAACAAAGTTTGAACTTTCAGAGCTAAATGTCACAATCTGCTTCCCAGCCAGACAAATCCCACAGGAACCGGGTGAGTCTGAACATGTGCACGCTGACAATCACAGATGGAAGAAAACACAGAGATGAAGCATCTTTAATTAACATCAACTGAGGCTGATGTTTCTGAACTGAGCCAGCTGACATCCAGAAGTCAGTGCTGGCTCAGGGAATGTGAATGAAAGGTATCTGTCAGCACTGCATGTGTGAAGGTCTGTGGGATTCACTTACATGCGTCTTGAAAATAGAAACGTCTGAATAGTTCTGCAGTTTCTGAAACCCGCTGAACCCGTCCACTTTCTGCTGCTTGTCCAGGTGTGGGTTCTGATGGCAGCAGATGAAGGCGCCCAGCCAGCCGCTGTGCCAGGATCACACTTTGATTTGATGTGATTTTCAACTATGTGATACTAAAAAACTCTCACACAGGCTTCACAGCTAAAGTGTGTGTATTTGTGGTGTGATGTTTCTTCATCCTCCTCCTCTCTGTGTTTACAACTCCAGCCTCTACACACACACATCTTGACTTTCCCATGAGGCTCTGCAGCTACACTTTCCTCTAATAGGTCCCTCAGTGCTCAGCCTGTCGTTACTGGGACCAGCACAGAGGAATCATACGCTCATTAACCCTCCAGAGGCTGAGACCCAGCGATGAGCACTGCTAAGCTCAACAACACCAAACGCTGCTGCTTCTCACAGATCCAATGTCTAACACATCACAAAGGGCGGGGAAACACCTGCAGCTGTTAAAGGAAGATGTTCCACCTTCACAAACACTCTTACATCTCTACAGAGCAGAGTTAAAGAGAGGGAGCAGGTTAACATCGGCTGTCTGAGCTGCTGACGATGACGCTGAATACACTTTAGAGAAACTGCACATTTGGCACCTGCTGTCTGCAGGACCTACATTGTCCTCTGTCCCCTTGTCTTTGGTCCTGTTTGGACGGGTTCTCAAGGCAAGGCAGGTTCCCACTGTGTGTCTGGTTTGGGGATCTCAGAGTCACTTCTCTGCTTTTTTGCAGATGATGTGGTTCTGTTGGCTTCATCAGACTGGCACCCCCCCAGCATGCATTTGGGTGGTTTGCAGCTGAGTGTGAAGTGGTTCAGACCTCCAAGTCTGAGGTCATGGTTCTCCACCAGAAATCAGTGAAGTGCTGCCCCAAGTGAAGGAGTTTAAGTGTGTCAGGGTCACAGTGAGGGAAAACTGGAGCATGTTGACAGGTGGACTGGTGCAGCATCAGCAAAAAAAAGCAGGAATCTGGGTGTCGTACCAGAGGGAGCTGAGCTGGTAGGCAAAGTTTTCAATCTACCAGTCTATATGCTGACTCTCACCTCTGGCTTTGGGTAGTGCAAGGGGAGAGCTGAAAACATGACAGTGGCTGAGAGCTACTCTTGCTTTATATTAGGCTACTGACATGTATTCACATATTGTATCAGAACCTTCAAACAGATCACATGTTGTATCAAAAACATAAACGACATCAGCCATTGCGTCAGATTGCCTCATCAACACAAACATCAATCGAGGCAGTTAAGCTAGGCTGCTTAAAACCCCTCTGTCCCCAACTGCCACACTTTGATTTTGTGTTACTTACACATTCTGAGGATATCACATTCTCAGATGTCCACTGCAAACAAACGTCCACAGCCCCTGTTAGAAATCATAAGAAAAGACGCTCCTGATAGCGCCAGTGCATTGACAGCCGGTAGCACATCCAGTGGTACATAGCAGATTTGGCATAGTGTTGCTTACTTTGATGAAATGTAGCTTAAACAGGCTACAGGCCAGAGCACGACTAACTCAATCCATGGCAACGCACTTCCTGTTTCTTGTACAGTAACCTTACGTGATTATTGTTTCATTTAAGTGAAGACTTAATGTGACATTGTCCAAAAGAGTTGCTAACATCATTGAACGGCACAACTGACGTAAACAACCTTGACAGCAGCATCACTCATTTGCATGCATTGTAGGCTGCATATCTCTGGACCTTTAGGTGAGCTACTCAGAATCGAGGAGTGAGCTACTGGTGTTGGAGACCCCCTGGGATAGTGACTGAAAGACTGAGTGTGACTGCAAGTGGGACAATATTTCCTCGGTAGGGCGGCTGGACTCAGCCTTATCAGAGATATGGCATGGAACTCGGAGTAGAGCAGCTACTCCTTCACGTTGAAAGGAACCAGCTGAGGTGGTTCAGGATGCCTACTGAGCCTGGCAGTCCCCGTGACCCAACGCTGGACAGAGCGGTAGTTGGTGGATGGATCGATAATGTGCCATAAAGTGAGATACAAAATGACTTGGTTAGGTTTTGGGTCAAAAGGTACGTACTTGGTTAGGTGTAAACACAAAAAACAAGTAGTTTAGTTTGGGGAAAGACTGTGGTTTGAGTATTTGTTAGAGAAACTACTTTTATTGTCATGTACATGAGTACAATAAAATTAGATGTGCCACATCTGATCAGTGCAATATAAAAACATAAAATACCCATTCTCACAGCCACAATAACCACACCCACACAAACATAAAAGAAATGGATTATTTCTAATTATATATATTTAATACTGAGTGAAGGCATCAAATCATTACACACAATTGTAATTAGCAGCATTCACAGTTTGGATAGCCCAAGAATAAAAGCTGTTTATAAGTCTATAAGTTTATAAGGGGGCAGGAGGGTGAACAGTTCATGTCCAGGGTGCGTATTGTCCTCCAGTTATGCAAACTTGTAACATTTGTGCTTTATCATAAAATGCCCTGATCTCATTCCTCCTCCCTTGTTCCTCTAGCACCACCCTCAGAACCCTCCGCTATCGCTAAAGAGTCTAAACTCAAGTCAGGGTTTCTGTATTTGGCTGCTGCAGGTTTCATTTGGTTGGCGGCCCCGTTCCTGTCCAACAGCATGTGACTGCATCTCAGTGTGAAGCAGGTCCATTTTCAAATGAAATGATTATTAAAGTTAAACTGTAAGCACTGTAAGT